TTTTTTTTGGGTACCAGGGATTGAACTCAGGTACACTCAACCATTGAGCTACACCCCCAGCCCTATTTTGTATTTTATTTAAGAGACAGGGTCTCACCGAGTTGCTTAGTGCCTCGCTGTTGCTGAGGCCGGCTTTGAACTCGTGATCCTCCTGCCTCAGGCTCCCAAGCCACTGGGATTATAGGCATGCACCTTGCTGCTTTCTTCTTGAACAGAATCGATGCAGTTCACATACAGTAACCCCTCCCAATCCCCCTAAAAATGGAACAGAGCTAAGAACTGGGAACAGCAGTTCCTGAACAAGGTTTTAAAATCCTTCCACACATTCTGGTAACCTGTACCACTTAACATTTAAAATAAAGTTTCTTGGAAAAGAAAAAATTCTCGGGCTGGGGATGTGGCTCAAGCGGTAGCGCGCTCGCCTGGCATGCGTGCGGCCCGGGTTTGATCCTCAGCACCACATACAAACAAAGATGTTGTGTCCACCAAATACTAAAAAAAAAAAAAAAAATAAATAAATATATTTTTTAAAAAAATAGCCCACAATCTGCTCTGGAAATGCTCATCTTCACCTTTCACTTAAAAAGAGAAAAAATTCTCATAAGAATGAGGTTTAAAGAAAGCAAATACAGGGCTGGGGCTGTGGCTCAATGATAGAGCACTTGCCTGGCACTGGATTTGATCCCTGGTACCACATAAAAATCAGTAAAATAAAGGCATTGTATCCATCAACAACTAATTAAAAGACATTTTTAAAGAAGTAAAAAAAAAAAAAATTAAAAAAGTAAATAAATAAAAAGAAAGCAAATATACACCAGGAACAGAGAACATTACTTGTGTATAAATTTAAACAGACCTGGGCTGGGTCCTAGATTATTTAGGCTCTGTGAAATTAAATAATGGAGACAACAGATTTCAAGCAATAGTAAGAATTTCCTTATTGATATATGTCATCCTGAACTCGTCAGCATTTCTCATTATTTTTGAGACATTTGTGAAACACCACCCCACATAATTCATTCTAAACCAGTTCTTTGAAGATGYTGTCCTAATCCTATCATCAGTCTCTCATGTTTCATCGATGGATATATTTAATAATTCACTGTTAACGATTAACTTTCTTGTGTTTCAACATAAGTTCATCATAAACTCAATGTTAAATATTTTATAGCAGTAGACCTGAATTTACATACACCTGAGCCCAAACTTCTCTTTTGAGATGATTTTAGATAGTTACACTTAAAAGCAACTCAATTTATCACTAACTCAGGATTGAAAACTAGTGAAAGGGTTATGACCTTATGACTGAGGGTAAAATTTTGCCTAGGGATGTTTCCCTTCAAGCACCCATTCATGCTCATAGAAAACATCTCCTAATTGAAATACACCTTTTAAGTTTCAGATTAAGATTTCCAGAAATAACATTCTAAGGATAAGTTCTAAGGGTAAATAAAATAACCGTTCTAGGGAAGCTCATTTAAATAAAAACAAATAAAAACAACCAAATATACAATGTCATTTAAGTATTTACCGAGTAAAAACAGCATGGTCCTTCTGATCTAATACAATGATAATATCTCCTGGTTCCAGTCCTGGCTCTTGGTCTCCTTCACCATGGAATGTTATCTTCTGTCCATCTTTCATGCCTAAAAACAAGAGAACAGCATGTACTTTTGCTGAATATCCATCCATTACTGAGGTGAGAACTGCAAAATCTTCTAAAACACACAGATTTGTTTGTGTATACATGAAAAACAAATGCTAAAATCTTGTGGATGGTAAATTTTCAGAGAAATGACTAATGACTTCTTAATCAGTTCAGTTTGCTACTAAAGAAAGCTATCAAATAGAAAACAAACTCTAGAAGCAAACAGACAAGACTTCAAAGCTCAGAGCTGCTATTTAGTGGCTGGACTACTCTGGGGAACTAAGTTGCATAACCTTTCTAAGTTTCAACTTTCCCAAAGAGACACCTAACTCATTAGAGCTGTTGAGAGGATTTAAGTAAAAAATGCCTATGCTATCACATTAAGAAAAAAAAAAAAAAAAAAAAAAAAAGGAGGAGGACAGGGCCATCAAGTTACACACAAAAGTACAAAGCAACAAACTGTGCAAACTGCTCCCCACCCCCAAAATACCTAGGCCAGTACCAAACTGGCAGATAGTAAACATTATAGGCAATAAACATTAATTACTTCCACTATAACATTTAAGAATCTTTTCCAAGAGGCTTACACCACGGCCCAGTGGTAGAGCACTTGCCTAGCATGTGAGGCACTGGGTTTGATTCTCAGCATCCCATACAAATAAATGAATAAAATAAAGGTCCATCAACATCTTAAAAAAAATTTAAAACAAACCTTTTTCAAGTTATTTATATTAAGTCTAACAGTAATAAATCAACTTTCTTTTCACTATTGTACCATTTATAAGAGTATCTAGATATAAACTAAAAATATTTAAAATGTGCAATATTGGGTCTAAGGGTATAGCTTGATCGTAGAACACTTGTTCGGCACGTGCATGCAAGGCTCTGGTTTCGATCCTTCAATACTACAGCAATAAAAAAACTGGGAAGGAGAGAGGAGGTTTAGTGGCCAATGTCAAAAACACAGATAGGGGCCTGGGGATATAGGTCAGTTGGTAGAGTGCTTGCCTTACATGCATAAAGCTCTGGGTTCAATCCCCAGCACCACCCCCCCAAAAGAAAAAACACAGGAAAGACGATTTTCCAGCAGGATATTTTTAAAAAGATCAGTATTTTTACTGAGATTCTCCTCAACTTCTATTTCTCTCTGCCCCATATACTTTAGTTCAGTAAAGGCTATAACATCTCTAACAACTTATATAAGAAAATCTTGTTTTTTCAGATTGCACTGTAGCAGTATCTGCTGAACTAATGATTACCAAGGTCACTGAACATAAGCAATAGTGATTCCACATTTTAGAAATAAGCATATGTATGCATACATAAACATCCACTCCATACAAATGCAGTCAACAGTGCAACGGATTTCCATGGATTAATCAAGATTCCATGGTTAACCTATGATTAATATTTTATGTATTGTACTTCCACATGTTCTCCCCACGTTATTCTGAAGCAAAATTAATCCACAAATACTTCAGTATGGACTTAAAACCAATACCGATCAGTACTGACAAAATTTAATAATCTGTCTTTAAACTATATACTAGCAAAGTAATTGTCTTGTTACATCAGTAAAGCAGTTAAATTCAGCTAATTTTTCTTGGTTGTTCTCAATGTAAAGAGCACACCATTAATAGCATCATTTGCAATCAATGCTCTAAGTATATATATATATATTGCTGTGTTTTTTTTTTCTTTGTACAATATTGATTTTCTCCCTCTTTATTTCAACCCATCACACCTATGATATTGCTGTGTTTAAGAGAAGACATCAAAGAGAAAAACTCAAAAGCACAAACCCTATTCATCATGGGCCAGTTAAATTAATTTGTAAATCAAATTTATAAAAATACGTAAAAGTTACCTGGTTAATTAAAAATTTTTGTGAGAGGGCAGTTACCATAATTTACATGATAGACTTTATATATATATATATAATTTATTTATCAATTTCTACTTCTTCCCAATAATATATATAACTATAGTTATAGTTATACCTTGATTGGCCAGGGAAGCCAATATTAAAACACCACAGAAATACCAATTTCTACTTCTTCCTGATAATATACATGTATATAACTATAGTTACACCTTGATACCAGCAGGAAACTAACTGGTCCTTGATCTGCCTCAAACACCAAAATCTGAGGATGCTGAAGTCCCTTATACAATAAAATGATGTAGCATTTGCATATAACCTATGCACATCTTCCTGCACACTTACTTATGTCTAAATTACTTGTAACATAGTACAATAAGTTGCAAATAGTTTTTGTATTACATTGTTTTAAGAAGTGATGACAAGGGGGGGGAAAATCTGTACATATTCAGTACAATGAATATTGTACTGAATATATACTGTATTGAATATATAGTCCCCAAATATTTTCAACCCAAAGTTGGCTGAATCTGCAGATGCACAAAGGATAACTTTAATGTAACTACTTAATTAATTTGAGTTATATGTTACTATGAAAAGATGCTCATATTATCAGTTCCAGTTTGACAGATACAATATTAGTTTCATTTTATAAAAGCACTCTGAAAGAGATTAATACCATAATGTTGACTGTCTCACAGAATTACACATAATCAATTTTTCTCTGGGGTTATACATATTTCTAAAATGAACATGCACTGCTGTAATACATCTAAAATTTTAAAATAAGCCAACAAAATTAAGAAAATGACAAAATAGTTTAATCCTAAAATGCATAAATATAAAAAAGTTACATAGTTATAACCTAGAGCCCAATAGGTAGAAACTGAGAGGGATATCATAAAACTTAAAAAGCCAAAAAACCAGAATGAGTCATCTAAATCCTTACAAATCAATTAAGAAAAGGAACAGTATGACAGGCATGGCAGCATACACCTACAGTGCCAATTAGTCACAAGACTGAGGCAGGGGGATGGCTTAAGCCCAGGGGTTTGATGCCACCTGGGCAACACACTGAGATGTTTTTCAAAGGAAAAAAGGGAACAAAAAATTCAGCATTTTAATACAATAATTACAATAATTTTAATACAATAATTAAGAAGTGGACAAATAAGAACATTTAAACATTTAAGATGAATTTTAACGAGGCCATTCTTCATTTAAACCTCTTTCTCTCCTCCCAAATCCTTAAAAGTATGCATATCTTTTAATCTAATAATTCTTAAAGATATTAAGAATGGGTACACAGCTTAACTGTAATTTAATTTTAAAAGGTCAAAGAATTCTGGTGCAACAGGAATTAAGTTTGCACGGAACATTATTCAATCACTTATGCCAGAAAAATGACCCTCTTTTACACTGAAGGGTTTCTGAATCTTCCTAATTATTAAACAGTGCTTTTTTTTTTTTTTTAGATGTTGATGGACCTTTAGTTTATTCATTTATTTTCATGTGGTGCTGAGAATTGAACGAAGTGCCTCACACATGCTAGACAAGCACTCTACCATTGTGTCACAACCCCACCTATAAAAACAGTATATTTTTAAAAATAGTATTATTAAACTTGCCATGGAACTTCCTCTAGGGATCAGAACTCACCTTTGTCAATATGAACTTCCAGAATCTTCTTCTCTCGAACTATCTTCCTTCCATTGCAGCTTTTACATCTATCTTTAGGACTGATCCGCTCCCCATGGCCCTGGCACTCCATGCACACAGACTGAATTTGCTGAACCATTCCAGGTCCTATCTGATGAATTCTTATTTGCATTCCAGTACCTCGGCAGTTGGGACAGCACTCTACTGCTCCTTTCTTACCACCCCGGCCTTAAAAGTGTTTAAAAGAAATTTATGTGTAAGTTTAGCAACAGATACAGTAATGCACATCTGTCAAGTTTTACCTATTCAGTCTTTAGCTCCATTTTCAGTTATGTAAAGGAATGTTAAAAGATCATACCTTCACATTTGTCACAAATCACATTCTTTTGCAGAGCCAGTTTTCTTGTTGCACCATTATATAAGTCTTCTAATGTTACTGAGAGCTGGTGCACAACGTTTTTACCTAGAACAAAACACTACTCATTAAAAACCCATCTAAAATGCTATTATCTTATGTTGAAGTCACTATAAAAATTGGTAAAGAATAATGAAAAATGAGCCTCATAAGGATCTATCATCAGTTGAGCACCTATTCACAGAATGTTTACCATATTATCACATGTGATCGTGGAACTGTGATAAAATTACAGATGAAGAAAATTGGGTCAGAGACTAACATGCCCAAGGACACAGACATACCATCTTAGAAATATGGCAATCAAAGATATTACCTCCAAATTCAAGGTTAGCTAAGTAAGCTCATTTCACAAATAATTCAAATACGTATTTCTGTGCCAATGTTTTCTTTGAAGCTTTCACTCAGGTATGACATTGAGCAACAGAGTCAATTACTTCATCCAAAATTCTTTAGCACAGTAAATTCCTAACAGTCAAGATTGGACAGGGAAGCCAATGAAGACACCACTGAAATATCAATTTCTACTTCTTCCCGATTCAGTAGGGACAGCCATTTACCACTGGGCAAGCACTGTTTTTTTTTTTTAAGGATAAATTTATCATACCCTTCATAACTGCATTGCTCAACAGAACTTTCTGCAGTAATGGAAATGTTTTAGTTGTACTGTCCAGTATAGCAGCCACTAGTCACACGTGTTTAGTGGGCACATAAGAAAGTGTGATGATTACTTCAACTGAAGAATTGCATTTTCTCCTTTATCCCAAATTAATACAAATTTAAAGATCCCCAGGTGGCCTGAGGCTTCAAAGGAGTGTCACACATTACTTTCATATTAGAACAGGGAGTAGAGTTTTGAGATCACATAAGGACAGTATGACAACAGAAATGAAACAGTTTCCCAATGGTTAGTTAATAAGTTTCTAGCTAATGATTCCACAAGGACTTTATCCACTGCAACAGTATTGCCTTATGCATGACTGAAAAAAGTTCTCAAACTCTTTTCTGGACAATATGCCTATTGAACATTTTAACTTCCTAAATAGAATGTGAAGCATTAACAACTATATCCTTCTGCTCCTAGCTGTATCTTTGGGTTCTATTATCACAAACAGTCCATGTAGTTGGTTATGGCATGCTGAAAGCCACACTTTTCATCAACCTTTTTACAGTACCGGGGACTGAATTCAGGAACCTTCTTCTACCTCTGTGCTACACACCCAAGCCCTTCTTCAATTTGAATCAGGATCTTGCTAAGTTGCTCCTGCAGGCCTGGGGCTTGTGATGCTCCTGCCTCAGTACCCAAGTATCTAGAATTACAGGAATATATCACCATTCTCAGCTCACTGTAACTTTTATGTGGAAAGTACAGGCAAGGAAAAAGTAAAAGTTTCTAGAGTTTGGTCAAGTGATAAATTTTAGGCCAATTCTTTATTTTAAAAAAGATAAAAACTACAAATACTTTTCTGTAGGACAAACCATCTAATGGTTTATTAAACAAGTGATCTGGGTTTCTGATTTTGTTTTTAGTAAACTATTAACATAATCCTCTCCTGAAGACCGGTATATAAAAACATCTGCCCTTGCTTATATAAACTACACAGGGAATAAAGTGAGATTGTCTTCTCTTGACTGAAACACTTATTCCATGTACAGCCTACAGACTACTTTTCTGCTAAATAGTCAATGTACATATTTTGAGAAAACAAAGATGAATCAAGATTAAAAAGATAATGGGCTACACAGTCAATGAGCCTATGTTTTCATTGCTACCTCTACTGTTCCCTTTGCTATGAGCTTGAATAATTTATTTCTGAACTTTAATATCTCACCTGACTGAAAAAGGCACAGGAACATGGGTTCCAGGGCACAGGAACCAAGTAAGATTCGCAAAGGGTTTTAAAACTATGTTGCTATGCTTTGTTCCCTTAATTAATGTTTGGTAACCTGAGGGAGTTGGATGTATCCAACCAAGGGCTTTAAAAGCACTCATTTGTTACCACTTGATTGGCTTAGCTATTTTTAGTTACACAAAATCTCATTTATAAAATTACACCAGAAATCGGAACAAACAGAAGCAGTTTATGGGTCAATCTACAACATTATACCAACAAGTCAACAAGCATTTTAAAACGAGTGATTTCTCAAAAATTTGTTTTGATCAACAGCTACTGAAACTTGCTGCATGTAGATCTTTCTTACCTCTCCTTTCTCTCTGCATCCTTCCTCCTCCTCCAAAAAACATATCAAAGATGTCCATGGGGGAGCCAAAACCACCACCTGCTCCACCCTCCTTAATTGCCTGTTCTCCTCCTTTGTCATATAATTCCCTTTTCTTGGCATCAGAGAGAACTTCATAAGCTTGAGAAATCTGTTTAAACTATTTGAGAAAAGGAGAGTCAATTTTCTTAAAAACAACAACAACAAAAAAACCCACTCAATTTCAGACAGTAATAGAAACACTTTACATATCCGCAAAGAACTACTCAGATGTTCACAAACATATTACTTGCCTTTTCACCTTCATTTGGATTCTTATCAGGGTGGTACTTCAAGGCCAATTTTCTGTAAGCCTTTTTTAATTCTTCCTGGGTGGCATTGGGTTTGACCCCCAAAACATCATAGTAAGTGGTTTCTTTCACCATTTTCTACAGCCTGAAATAAAAATGCAATTTTAATCAGCTTTCAAATGGTAGTTTTTAATTAGTAAAGTCAGGACTAAGGCACAGCAAACTGTTACTTTGTTAAATCTGATTTTAAAAACACCACCTCCGCTAAACTTCACAGAAATGTAACAATTCCTGTGATAATTCAGCTACAAGTTCTAGTTAACTAAATGTAAGCAAAAAATCATCAAGGAATTCAAAAGCATTCTAGCAGCTGGTTCCTTCTCTCCCACACTACAGCTTCCGTAGTGTAATCTGGATTCTTCTGTTCTCCCTTCCCCCTGAGGTGGTGACAACAGTAATCAAAAGGGGCACTAATAGATTCACTCCATTGATTACATTTTCACTGTCTTTGTACACTGATAAATGCCATACACCATCCCCAAGACACTGAGGTACATGCGGTGAGGGAGGGGTTTTATGGAACTGGTTCCTGAAAGCAAGCCCCCCCACCGCCCAGGCACAATTATTGGGGAAGGAGGGCTTAACTGTATTTTTGTCACATTGCTTAAAACCTCCCTACTTTCACAGCCGAACCCCACTCGCCCCTCAGGTCAGCGTAGTTAATCGTCCTTAGGTTCCCCCCTGCACTTGGCGCCGACCGTGAAGGTTTCCTTCCTTTCTCCCTCCCACCCAGGATAGAAGGGGCGGAGGGGGAAGCCCAGCCCTCAACAAAGAGAGGGAGGGGAGACTGGAGAAGCGAAAGCAGCAGCCTCGCTCGGCTCCTCCCGCAGCCCCTCGCCCCTGCCTCACTCCTGCGCGTGCGCGCAGAGTTGCCCACCCAGAGCGAGCGCGGGCGGAGGGGCGCGGGGGCGCGCACAGAGGGGAAACCCAAGGCTGCTCCTTGGAGAGCTTAGGCTGGGTGGGGGAGGCTCAAAAGAGGACTTGGACTCTCTCCCTACGACCTGGGGATGGGTTGCCAGGGCACCACACCGGCCCTCCAAAAAATGGAATTATGGATCTAGGAACCGACAACCCTCCCGCCCACGCGGAGCCAACCGCCTCCCAACTGCGGCTCCATCCGGCTTCCAGGTGCCGCCAACAGCGTTAGCTAGGAGACTGAGAAGCGCGAAGGCTGAAACTCACCGGTGAGCGGGCTGGGGCCGTTGTGAGGGAGTGGGAAGGAGCGCGTAACTGTGTGCAGCCCAGGCAGCCGCCGCTCCTCCGCCTCTCACCGAGCGTTCTGGAAAGTTCCGCCCGGCGCGCCGCAGCCGTCGTCTTTTGTAGTCGAGCTGGGGCGCGTCACTCGCCGGAAGTCCCGCCCCTTCAGCCCCTGCCGCCGCCCCGCGGTTACCCGGCAACGGCGCGGGGGCGCTCGGGCCGGGAAGGGCTGTGCCGAATGGCCTTGTGGGGAAGGGTGCAAGCCCGGGTTTCCGAGGCTCGTGGAATCTTCTGGAGCCCTTAGCTCCGCTCTGCGGGCTAGGAAGTACTGATGTCCCCTGCTGGAGCCGGTATGGCTTAGGAGCAGTGTGATTCTGAGGCAATTTGGGATTCTAAATCAGTGGGGTCACCGTTCAGGAGGACCAGGAAGGGATCCGGTACAGCGTCCTGGAAAGGAGCTGTTTCAGAAGGGGAGCCTTTTGGAACAAAGCGCGGCACCCCGCCCCCGGCGCCTCCTTCGCCCTTTTCGGCGTCTTTAATAGCTTTAGTTCTGAGCCCGGAGGTTCTAGAAACTCGCCGAGCAAGGCGGGCCTAGTCCCAGACCAAGCTCACACAGGCTTGCCTCTTGCTCTTTTCCACGCGCAGCTCAGAGCTTCGTAGTTCACCAGACTGCGGGTTCCTAGACACTCGTTATATCAGCATCCGACCTTGCTGGTTCCTGGATCTTGCTGGTTGCTTTGTGTCCAGGGCAGGTATCCTGGGGCTGAACAGGGAGACGATTGGAAAACCTTGATGCAAAGAGAATTATGGATTGTGGTCAAATTTCCACCCAGTTTGAGTAATAGCAATAAAGGCTGTTAACAAATTAATAATTCGACATCACTTTTAAGTCGCACCAGTCAGTTAACCAGGATTTGCAGTCTGTAAAGTGAGTCTTTAGACTTTCAAATATTATGACAGGAACATAGTGAGAAATGGAGTCTGTCTACCTTATTCAACAACACAACAAATACAGTATCTACCACCGAAGAAACTGGAGAGACAAAGTTAAAAACACCAGATTCACTTTAGACTTTAGGTTTAGACTTTAGTGTGGAGCCAAATGAGTCAAAAGAACTGAAAGAGAAACTACGATAGAGGTCAGCACAGGGGAGGTTCCTGTTTTCAGATAGATCAGGTAGAGTTTGGCTATGAAGTTGGCAATTGAGGTGAGTTTTGAAGAAGGGAGAAAGTATATGAGTAAAGGACAAGGCACAAGGGAAGACTAAAGTGGTGGAATATGTTTTTAGGAAATTGCAAGCAATTGTAGCCATAGCTAAGGGAACTAAATTGGTTCAAAGCTAGTTGGGAACACCTTCATCTCTTGGAATATCTTGACTAAGCTAAAGATTTTGAACCTCACCTTGGAAGTATCCCATGCTACCTCTTCCACCTTATCTCTTAATTTGAACTGTTATTTCATTCACACAGAACTATCTTCATTTTTGCAAACTACTTTTTTTTTTTTTTAACCTCTGTGCTTTTGTTTTGCCTGACAAACACTTTAGGTGTTACCTTCTCAAGTATCACCTTTGGTATAATTTTTTTTCCCTTTAACACTTTTTAATACTGCCAGGCATCATACTAGGGCTTGGTAATATAGAAATTCTGTTTAAGTTGCTGGGTGGGGTTGCTCAGTGACTCGGGAAGCTGAGGGCAGGAAGAAGGCAAATTCTAGGCCAGCCTCAGCAACTTAGGGGAGAACCTCTCTCAAAATAAAAAGGGCTGAAGATGTAGTTCAATGGTAAAACACCCCTGGGTCCAATCCCCAGTACCAAGAAAAAAAAAGTCATGGTCCCTGCCTTGAAGAAACTCAGCACACAGGGAACCAGAAACATGAAGGAGTATAGTGTGATAGGTGATAATAAAAGTAAACTGTCATGTTTAGTAGAAAAGGGGAGTCTTGCACCAACAAGTACTCAGATGAACATCTGAGGCAGAGACCAGCAAGTGTGAAAAAATGAAAAATTAGTAGAGAACAATAGTTAAATATCGTCAATGGTGTTATAGTCCTAAAGTTCCTACTTTTTACTATAACATGAGCTATGCATCTGTGAATCTGATGTTGGTTAAGCATATGAACCAGGAGTTTTTACAGTAAGATCACCATGTTTGGTGTTTTGTAAATGTTGCCATCATTTAGATGACCATTGTTTAGTGTTTGTTTCTCCCTCAGGAACCCAATGAAATTCCTACTACTTGAGAAAGGTGCAAGTATGATTCCAGCATAAAAATACCTCCTTCAGACTGCCAACATAAGACTATGATATCTGATATTGAAAATACATTTCATGTTCACAAACTCATTTATTGAGAATTCCTCATTTGAACAATACAATAAAGGTCATAAAAGTTTTTTTTTTTAAAGAAAAAAAGTACTTTTTACTTGATCTGTATGTGTGGAGACTGTTTTTGAAAGATACATTGAAATATGTAATATGGTTACACGTGGGGTGCTGACTGGGTAGAAGTGGATGGGAGGAAGAGATTTCACAATTTACCATTGTGTAACTTCTGAATTTTTAATTCATTTGAATGTAGTGCTTGTTCAAAAAATTAAAAAAGAATAACATCCTCTCTTTATTATACAAGCTTTGAATTAGTAACTTGTCAACCTCACACAAAGTTAGATAATTCTTAGTTGCTTTAAAAACCATCATTAAGGCTTGGGAGGCTGAGGCAGGAGGATTGCAAGTTCAAATCCAGCCTCGGCAACTTAATGAGGCCATAAACAATTTAGCGGGATTTGGTCTCAAAAACAAACAAACAAAATCCAAGCAAGGGATGTGGCTCAGCGGTTAAGTGCCCCTGGGTTCATTCCCTGGTACTACCCCCTACCACCAAAGCTATCATTAGTGCTGGGAATGTAGCTCACTGATAAACATGTAAGCTAAGCATTCACTAAAAAGCACAAAACCCCCCAATACCTATCATTACATATTTTGACTTTTTTTCTTAATAGATTTCAATGATGTTGAAAATGTACTTATGAATATTCTTTTTCAGTAATAGAAGTTAACATTTTTAGGAAGCAAACTCAGTGGTAGAGTGCTTGCCTAACATGTGAGAGTCCCAAGTTTAATCCCCAGCACTGCTGTAAAGAAAAGAAAAAAGAAAAACATTCTTATTTACATAAAATATAAAAACATTAGCAATAAATTTATATATGATCTTTTTTGTATAGAAGTGGGATCATATTGCCAGCCTGTAATCCCAAGGATTTGGGAGGCTGAGGCAGGAGGATTGCAAGTTTAAGGCCAACCTGGGAACCTTAGGGAGACTCCCAAAAGAAAAAAATAAAAAGGGCTGGGAATGCACCTCCATGGGAAAGCACCCCTGAGTTCAATCCCCAGTACCACCAAGGAAAAAGAGAAAAAAAAGGGATCATACTACACATGATGTTTACAATTTGCCTTTTACACTTTTTTGTCTTTTTATTGTTAGGATAAATAAATCTACCTTGTCTTTTTTTTAAAACTTCATAATATATAGTATGACTATTCCCATTGATGAACATTTCAGCAATTTCCAGTGTTCTACAAACACTTTGTTATTGAAGTGCTGGGGAGTGAACCAAGGCATGCTCTACTGCTGAATTACATCCTTAGCCTTTTAAATTTTTTTATTTTGAGACAAGGTCTTTCTGTGTTGCCCAGGCTGGCCTTGAACATACTCTCCTCCTGCCTTGGCTTCCTGAATCACTAGGRTGACAGGCATATGCCCAGCTATATTGGCACTTTTATGTTAGGGATAGTTGATATTAGTCTGTCACACATTACAGTTATTCCCTTTAGTGTATTAGGTTTTCATTTAATGTCTAAATATATATTTTTGGCCATTTAAAGTTTATAAGGCTAAGTAAAAGCCACATTTCATTGGGATACTTTGCAATTTTCAATAAATTGTATGGCTAGATCATAAGTGTCCATGGAGTTTAACTGGAGATGACTATAGCCATGGCAGGAGCCAAGTCATAAGGGCTTGGGCACTATACTAAGAAGTTTGAATTTTATTTTAAAACTTCTGAAAGTTTTTTTTTTTTTTTTTTCCTGTAGTGCTGGGGATAGAATCTTGGGCTTCTTGTGTGCAAAACAAGCACTCTACCATCGAGCCCCCAGCCCAAAGTTTTGKTTTTTTTTTTAAATTGCTTTAAAGGTGAAAGATAGATCTGAGAATATAGCTCAGTAGTATAGCATGGGCTTAGCATGTGGAAGGCCTTGAGTTCAATCTGCAGCACTAAAAAGGAAGAGAAAAGGGCGAGGGATATAAAGAGTAATGCATTCTGTTTTAGCCTAATTTAAGAATGCACAATGCAGATAGAGTAGTAGTATTTAAAAAGAAAAAAATTTTTTGGTAGTGTAGACAGACAGAATGCCTTTATTTTATTTGTTTATTTTTATGTATTGCTAAGGATTGAACCCAGTGCCTCACACATGCCAGGCAGACATTCTGCCACTGAGCTACAGCCCCAACCCCAGAGTAGTATTCTTTTTAAGGTCTAGCCTGATAGCTGAAAGATTTAATAGTAAACATAGGTACACTTGGTGTACAGTTTCCTTTCTTTTAAAGAAAAATTATGGGATCCCTCATGGTGGCATATGTCTCTAATCTTAGCTACTTGGGAAGATGAGGCAGGAAGACCACAAATTTGACGCTAGCCTCAGCAACTTGGTGAGATCCTATCTAAAAATAGAAAGGACTGGGTTGTAGCTCAGTGGCAGAATGCTTGCCTAGTATGTTCGAGACCCTGGGCTCAATTCTTAGTATTGCCAAAAAATTATTTATTAAACTGATTATTATTATGTTTTTATCTGGCTGCAGTGGCCCAAGCTTGTAATCCCAGTGACTTGGGAGTCTAAGGTAGTAGGATCTCAAATTCTAAGCTAGCTTCAGCAATTTAATGAGGCCCTAAGCAATTTAGGAAGATCCTGTTTTTAAGAAGGTGATCCTCAGCTGAGGGCCGTGGCACATACCTGAATATCAGTGGCTCTGGAGGCTGAGACAGGAGGATCATGAGTTTAAGGCCAGCCTCCGCAAAAAAAAGTGAGGTGCTAAGCAACTCAGTGAAACCCTATCTCTAA